TGAAATCCCTGTTATTCACTCTGGTACAGGAGGTGCCCACCAGGCACTGGGAATCCCAGGTGAAAAGCCACACCCTCAGACTCTGAAAAGCCCCTGGATAGGGAAAGCCCTTCATGCAATTCTGAGCTGTCAGAGGCTCAGAATTGGGGCTCATTGTATGCCCAGAGCCCTGAAGTATGAGGTACAAAGAAAGGCTCACATGTTTGTTGAACAAGTGAATGAATGAATGAATGAATAAACGAATGTGTGGAGGAAAGGGGGGTGGAGAGGAAGGCTCACCCAAAACCTAGACAACATGTAGCCCTTGATGGCTACAGCGATTATACTTGTATTACATTCTTGGATGGAAAGAGAGTGGGCAGAGATGGACACCTCTGAGTTCCAGCCTTTAAGGTCACGTAGGATCCTTCGTCCACCACCATCTCTTAATCCCCAAACTCTATCTTTGACAGCTCATCATAAACAGGGAAACAGAAAACTATGAAGGAGCATCTTGCTAAAAAGCTGTATGGAGATACCTGCGAGAAATTTGGACTCACAACTTCCTGAGGTCCTTGAATGCTCTAAAATTATTGCAGGGTGCAAGGGGAGCAGCACACCCAGGGCTCAGGGGTGAGGACATACCCCAGGCTTTCAGGAGGCAAAGCCAACCCAAGGGAGACCCTGCAAAACAGTTTCTCCTCTGAGAGAAACAACTGTGGGTGTGCCTGAACATGGGGGTTCTAGGGCATTGCCCAAAGGTTCAGCGACTCTAATCCTCTCAGCCCTTGGAGGTCCAGACCCCTCTTGCACTCCAGTTGGCTTATTACACATCTACTGTGTGCACACAGTGTGTGGTACTAAGGATACAGAAATGGTTAAGCACAGCCACTGTTCTGGGTGGGGAAAGCCAAGAGATGGATTATTTGAAAATACAATTGGTTAAAGCTGCTTGAGGAGGGACCATATCAAAATTTTTACATTCTCACATCTGGCACAATATTTGGTACACTGAATAAATGCCAAATCCTCAAATTAATTAATTTCCAGATAAGTGTCCTGATGGAGGATGTACAGTATGTCAAGAATGCCCAGAAAAGATCCTGACTCACGGTGGTGGTGGAGTGTCAGAAAAACTTCCCAGACAGGAGGGGATACAGCCCAACAAGGCTACGGGGCTGGCAACTGCACCATACATGTGATTTGTCACAAGAGCATAAAGTGGGGGCCTGAGTGGGAGAACATGAGGCTGGAGGAGTCATTGGGACAAAACCACTGCACCACAGGGAACTTCCATGCCCTGTGAAGACCTGAGGTTCCACGATGAAGCCCGTGTGTGTGTGTGTGTGTGTGTGTGTGTGTGTGTGTGTGTGTGTGTGTAGCAGGGGACTGATTTGCAAGGTAAGAATTCACACAGTGATTCAAGAAATCTTTACTGAATACTTATTATGCACTAGTTGCTATGGGGACAATAGATGGACATTACAGTCTATTACAGTCTAACGGGGGGACACAGAAAAAAGGCAGAGCTGCAGTGCGTTGTGGGAGTAGATAAGACTGATACTTAATGGAGTTGGGAGGGCTTCCCAGAAGGGACCTGTCAGCTGAGGAGTGACTGAGGCAGAACAAAGAGTGCAGGCAGAGATCTAAAGGAGAGCCAGTGCCAAGCGTGCTTGGGGAATGCAAACAAGTTTAGTGAGGGAGGCCCTAGTTTGTGTGGAGGTTGGGAGGGGACTGGAGGACCTTACCTTATCCAGGCAAGAGAGGGTGAGGGTTTGGATGCCCATTTAGGAGGATGGGAAATGATAAGAGTCTATAAATATTTAGTATGTATTTAGAAGAAGAGGATTGAGGCATTGATTGGATATTGGAGATAATGGAGAGCTAGGGGTCTAGGGCTTCTGGTGGAGGATGAGGGGTGGTAAATGAGTTAGATGCTGGAGACTTGCTGAATTTGAAGCATTACTGGGACAGCCAAGCTGGCAGCCCCTCCCCGACTCAGGGGGACTGAGTCCCATGCATCCCTGGGTATTGGGAAAGTCTCTCACCCCAATTCCTGGATTTTGAGAGACCCTCACTCTTAGCCCTTAGTTTCTGGAAGTTGGGAGATGCTCCTCCGATCAGTCGCATGCGTTAGAGTTCCCCTTTCCGGTCCTGGGTGTCGCCCCTTCGCCCCAGTCGAATGTAGGAAGCCCCCTCCCTCCCACCATCTGTAGGTGTTGTTAGCACCCCTCCCCCACCCGTGGTCATTCGGAGCTCCTCCCCCACAGTCGGTGGTCACTGTCACCACTGGGCGATGGCGGCGCGGGCTGCGGCTGGGGCCTTGGCCGTGGCCTTGGCGCTCTGGGGCTGGGCGCTGGCTCCCGCGGGAGCCTTGGACGCCATGGGCCCTCACGCAGCCGTCCGTCTGGCGGAGCTGCTGACCCCGGAGGAGTGCAGCCATTTCCAGTCACTCCTGAAGGCGCCAGAGCCAGACGTCGAGGCCGAGCTGGCCAGGCTATCTGAGGACCGGCTGGCCCGCGCCCAGACGCCGGAGCCCACATCC